GGGAGGGGAGGGGAGGGGAGGGGAGCGGGAGCAGGCAGCCCGCTTGTTTACGCCTATCCTTCAACTCGCCACTTCCCCGTGGCTGTTGGCAGCGTCTCAGGGCACAGACTCATCCGCGGACCCCATCCCACAGCCTTCCCTCGCCACCTGCTCCAAAGGGTGGTCCCGAATAATGACTCAAAGCTGCCTGCCACACCTTGTTCTTTTTTCCTATCCTAAGGAGACTCAAAACACACAGAAACCCAAAAGACTGTTAAAAAAAGAAAAGAAAAAAAAAGCAACCCTTCTGGCAGGGAGCTTCTGCTTCCCCTGTCACATCAACTCCAAAGGCACCGCGTGCATGGAGAGGCTTTTGGCTGACGTTTTCTCCATGCTGGGTCGGGAGGGAGAAATTATCCCAATTTTGCAGAAATAAAGAGCTAAGTAAGCATCCTGCCGAAAGCCAACCGGTAGCAGGCCCACAGCAGCCCAGGGAGGCCCGGCGCCACAGTATCGGGGCTCACGGGACTCAATCACCCGGCTCCACCTGAAAACACGGAGATACCAGGAGATGCCCTGGCCCTGTGCTGCCCCGCCCAGGGCTCTTAGGAGCCGTCCCGGAGCCGGTGGGAACTCAAATCCACCAAAGAGGGGAAAGGATTTCCGTCCGGCGCAGTTCAGTCAAGTTCCCGAGCAAGAACAATGGTCTCTCACTCCGTTCGGGAGAGCTGACACCCAGGTTAAGAAACTCATTCACTAATCACAAATATTAGTTATCTGACCACTGCCAGGACTCTGTGGCAGCCACATCCTGCCGGTTTAGTGCGGAGCCACTGCCAAACCTCGGTCCTCTCCCACACCTTCCGGGGCCCGTGAAGTTTTCAGTTCCTATCGGGCTGCAGCTGGGGGAGGGGACCCGGGCCGCCCCGGCCGAGTAAAGTTCCACCACCAGGTCCACAAAGAGACTGCAGGGAGGCGTGGCCAGGCCGGAAATTCTGACAAGAAGTTTTGGCCCCTCCGGTCCTAGAAGCAACTACTTCCTGGTCCCTCCTAGTCGTGCGGGTGTCCCTTTCTGCCTGGGGTCCCCCGCCGAGGGCCGAGCTGGGGCCTTCGACCGCGGTGGGGCGGGGGTAGGCCTGCCAGGCGCCCCCCGTGCCCGCACCCGAGGCGCTCAGCCGCCAGGCACCGGAGACGCTACTCTGGAGCAAAGTCCCCCGGCGTGCAGCTCGGAGGGCTGGGCCTCTCCTCCGCACTCCCCCCAGCACGCGCACCCCAGCGCCCCGAGGCCCGCGCTCTGCGCCCAGAGGCCGGCCCCAACGCCCAGGCCCAGGTCTGCTCGGACAGGGGGCCAGAGGGGACCCCAGCCCCCAAGGACCAGTCGGGTGCTCGCCGCGGCCCCCGACCCCGACCCCTCCGGGGAGACCCTCCAGGGCCCTGGCCGACTCCCAGCGCCATGGGGCCCGGCTGCACGGCGACCCCGGGCCGGGCCTCCCACCTTGACCCGCTGGCCCTGGATCTCCAGCGTCTTCATGGTGAAGTCCACGCCGATGGTGCTGCCCTGGCGCTCGGAGAAGACGCCTGTCTTGAAGCGCTGCACCACGCACGTCTTGCCCACGCTCGCGTCGCCCACCAGCACCAGCTTGAACAGGAAATCGTACTGCTCGTCCGGGTCCCCCGGGCCCGGCCCCGCCATGGCCGCGGGAGCCCAAGGGCCGGCGCTCCGGACGCTGGGGCGGCCTGGGCTCGCGCAAGCCGCGGGCCGCCTGGCGACGTGGAAGCGCCGCAACACCTGGGGAAGGGGCGCCACCGCCCGCCGGCCGCCCCGCCCCGGCCCGCCCCGGCCCGCCCCGACCCCGCGGCCGCGGCCCCGCCCCGGACTCGCCTGGCCCGGCCCTCCGCGCCGCGCCAGGCCAGTCCGGCCCTCAGGGAAGCGCTGGGCACCGCCCCTGGCCCGCCCCCGGCCGTACTCTTCCAAGCGCTGTTCTCGGTCCCGCCCCCAGGCCTACTGGGCCCTCGGCACTGCCTCTGGCCCGCCTCCAATGAGATTCCGCCCTCAGACTTGATCCAATCAGAATCCACCTTCAGGCCCGCCCCGGCCAGACTCCGCCCCCAGCGCTGCTTCCGACCCAGTCCCCATCCCGACTGTGCCCTCAGGGCTGCCCTCAGCCCGTTAACACTCCTCGGCTCCGCCCTTAAGCCCGCCCACAGCACCGACCCCC